ATCCTAAGCATTATTGAATTAATATACCCATTGAAGACATACCTCTTCCATATATTTTTAGTAATTTACCATTTTTGCTGTTATTGTTAAGTGCTGTCAAGTTGATTCCGAGTCCTAGTAACCCTGCATACAGTTTCTAAGGAGCAGCTGGTGGTTTGAACAAACAACCTTTTATGGTCCTCAGCCCAGTAATTATCCGATGGTGTCATACAAGGAAAATAATCCTTTCATGAAGTTTGCATCTGGTTTGGTCTGTAAAGGATACATTAAACTTTTTTTTAAAAAACCACTCTTGTAGGATCTTTCTCCAGGAAGTCCTTAAAATACTCTATACAAATTTTACTGAACAACCTTTTCTAATTAAATATGAATATGTAATTTTTTTAGACTTAATTGATATTTTCCCAATTAAATAAAAAATATTGATGGAAAGTTTTTTTAAAAAAACCAAAACACATTGAGACCTATTTCGTGTTTTATACTCTGGTACAAGTTTGCTACCTTAGGTAAATATCAGAATCACCTATGGAGTTGATTGAAATTGTTAATTCTTAAACACTTGTCCTAGATATCTTTATTTAGTTCATCTAGAATGATTTTGAGGTAGCACGTGGCTTTGTAGGATCAACACTGCACTTTGAACCACAGGTTAGTAGTTCAAGCCCATCAGCCGCTCCATGGGAGAACAATAAGGCTTTCTGCTCCCACAAAGATTATAGTCTCAGAAATCCTATACTGGGTCACTAAGAGTTGGAATCTACTCAACAGTACTTAGCAACAATAGCAACAAGGATGAATTTGAAATATGTGTGTTTTCAAATGGTTTACATTGGCTTCTAATGAGTAGATAGTGTTAGAAATCATTGTATAAAGCATGTTGTGGTGGTGGTGGTTTACAGTCCAGTGTATAAAGCATAGCTACTAACAAAGAGGAACAAAATAGGAGGCCTCTCACTTCTCAATCTCAAAATCTACTACAGAGCTACAGTAATCAAAACAGCCAGGTATTAGTACAGCGTAAGACACATAGATCAATGGAACAGAATTGAGAACCCAGAAAATCTGTCCACTTGTGTTCAGTTGATCTATGACAAAGGACCAAAGCACAGTAAATGGGGTAGAGCTAGTCTCTTCAACAAATGGTGCTAGCAAAATAGAAATCCATTTGTAGTTGATTGAAACAAGACCCATATCTCACACCATATACAAAAATGAGCTGAACATGGGTTAAAGACCTAAACAGAAAATCTATAACTATAAATATTATCAGTGAAAAAATAGGGATAAACTTAAGTGCTCTGATTCATGGGATAACTACACTAATAAGCATAACTGGAAACACACGAAGCAGAAGACAAAATAGATGGGACTGCCTAAAAATTAGGTATGTGCATCAAACGTTTTCACCAAATGAGTTAAAAGAGAAACCACAGACTGGGGAAAATTTTTTGACACGGGACTTCTGTCTAAAATTTATAGAACACTTCAACACCTCAATAAGAAGACAAATAATCCAATAAAAAATGGTCACAGGACATTAACAGACACTCCACCCAAGAAGACTTATAGGCTGCCAACAAACATATGAAGAAATACTCATGATCACTAACCATTAGAGAGACACAAATCAAAACAACAATGAGATATCATGTCACTGCAGCATTAATAGTAAAGATAAAAAAAAAAAAAGAAGAAGAAACATAAAACAACAAATGTCGGAGAGACTGGGACTCTCCTACACTGCTGGTGGGACTGTAAAATGGTGCAATAGCTGAAGAAAATGTCATGGCACTATCTCAAAAGGTTGGAAATATATGACCCAGCAATCTCTGTAAATAAGAAAGAAATAAGCTTTCAAGAAATAAGAACTGTAACACATATGCACGCCTATGTTCATTACAGTGTTATTCACTGGGTAGAAAATAGAAACTTGGGTGGTAACTTGAGTGACGGGGAAGGCAGTTAAAAAGAAAACGAAGGAAAAGAGAAGGAAGGGGGTAAAAATAGAAATTGCTTTCTTTGTTTTACACATACTAGAAGGAAATTATGTATGTTTATTTTCTCATTAAAAAAGATTATATATTATTTAGTTTGAAATATGAAGGTCAGGTTACTATGGCAACATCTTCTATAGTGTTATGACATGTTTAATACAGGATAGCCTGACCTCTTACTCATCTTAATTTATTTTCTCTAATAACATATCCTCTATAATAGTTAATGATGATATTCAGAAATTTTTTTATAATAAAGTAAATCTGTTAAAAAAATATGCATTTCTGAAAAAATTCAAAATAATAAAATTAAATTTAAAAATACTTGGACTAAACTCACCAGTTAAAAGATTATATCTCAGATTTTATAAAATTGCAGATAACAGCTATATGCCATCTAGTTTCCAACTCAGCGCCACCCTCTATAGAGTTTCTGAGGAAAGGATGATGGGTTTGAATCATAGACCTTGTGGTTAGCAGCCTAGTGCTTACCCTACAGCGCTACACAAGGACTCCAAAAGTTAGATGTAAATGTGTAATGGTTAATTTTATGTATCAACTTGTCTAAGCTATGGTACCCATATTGCAAAGGAACTATTTAAATGTTGTTGTTGCTAAGTACCGTCGAGTCGATTTCGACCCATAGCGACCCTGTATAGGGTTTCCAAGGAGCAGCTGGTGAGCTTCAGTCACCAACCTTGCAGTTCAAACAACTTTGCAATCTGATGCATTAGTCCACAGCGCCACACCAGGACTCTATTTAAATGTTGGTGGTGGTGGTCAGGTGGTCATGCGCTGTGGAGTCGGTTCCTACTCATAGCGACCCTGTAAAGGATTTCCGAGGCTATAAATCTTTACGGGAGCAGAAAGCCACATCTTTCTCCCAGAACAGCTGGTAGTTTGTAACAGCTGACCCTGAGGTTAGCAGCCTGATTCGTAGTTGCTGTTGTTGTTAGGTGCCACCGAGTAGGTGCTAACCCATAGGACCTTATGCATAGCAGAAGGAAACACTGCCCGATCCTGGGCTAACCTCACTATTGTTGCCACGCTTGAGTCCATCGATGCTGCTACTTGGCCAATCCATCTCATTGGGGGTCTTAATTTTAAATCAGTTGACCTTAAATAAAGGAGATCACCTATGATGTATGTGTCTTCTAATCAGTTGAAAGCTTTTAGAGCAAAAGCTAAGGTTTCCAGAGGGAGGATTCTGCCTTGACTATAAATAGACTTCCTGCTGGAATTTCCATCCCACTGCCTGTTATGGCCCTGTGGCCTAAAGTACTGGACCCCAAGGTCAGGTCAGCAATTCAAACAAACCAGCCGCTACTTGGAAACCCTATTTAGGGTCACTATGAGTAGGAACCGACTCAGTACCACTTAACAACACCACCACCTGTCCTATCCATTTTGTGCACAAGACTGCAAGAGTTTTCAGTGTGTTACCAGATCTACAGAATTTGGACTTACCAACTCCCACAATTGTGTGAACCCCTTTCCTTAAAAGAGATTTCTTTCCATATATGCAGTATGTATGCATAGCTTACTCTTTCTCTAGTGAATTGTGAGATGAAAAGTATTGGAAATGATAGACCAGGAACAAATCAATACAAAAAAACACTGCTGATTTAATTATTATTCACCTCTGATAAAGATGTTAACACAATGGTGCATTGTTGGCTCTCAGCTCAGCCTAAATCATTTTAAAATAAGGGAAACTGAAAGCTTCTTGACAGATGGACAAAGTGTATTGAAAAGCATGGAGATTGTGTCAAAAAATGATGCATTTGTCTTTTCTAAAAGTTTATTAAAATAAATTCTACAGCTAGAGAGCAGGTAAGTTTTGACTCACCTTCGTACATATAATATAATCTTAAATAACAACAAACGGAATATATGAGTATATTAAAGAAAACAACATAATACATGCCAAGTAGCGTTAACTCATTAATTAAGAGCTATTTTATATAGTGCTTCCTGGTATGTCACTGTAGGATAAGCACTGGATTGCTAACCAACAGATTGGCAGTTCGAGCATATCATCCATTCTTCAGAAATCCTATACGGATTACTATAAAGCAGATGCGACTCATAGCACTTAACAATAACCACACCAACAACACTTGAGTAGTAGTGTTCTGCTAACTCAAGAATATCATATAGCAAATATTTTTTCTTAATGAATAGGATTTCTATTTCAAAACAAGTTTCTAATAATTAGCTTATTTATATTTTATTTATATACACTTAATTTTTATTGTTGAAGCTGAATGTTGAGGACTTAATCACGTACTTCTAACTTTATATATATTTAAAATTTTGTTAGTAATAAAACTCTAAGAAAGTATTTTTGTTCAGACTAATTAGTAATGTATAAAGGGTAAAACAAAGCAAAAGATTCCTTTAATTAAAAAAAATAATTTTAATATAGGAAAATATTTTGCTGTATTTTATTTTCCTGGTAACTAGAAAAAGAAAGGAATCTCATACTTCCTAGTGGATAACATCATAGAATTTGCAACCAAACTGCCTGCATTCAAATTCCACGTCTATCACCTAAAAGCTCTAGGCCCTTAAGATTACCTTCAGTTTTCTTTGTAAAAATGAACATGAACATCTTTGGGAAGATTATGTGAATTGTGCATATGAAGTACTTAGAATAATAGTTGGTATATAGTCAATATGTAGTAAGGCTTAGCTATTATTATAGCAGATTGCACTATAAGTAGTAGGTTAATAGGAATTATATATAAATTGTACTCGTCTTCTGCTCCATCATACTTTTCTTTCTTTTAATTTTGGAGCATTTTATATCCAAATAGCTGATGTATCTATTTTGTTATTTTGTTCATGAATAGATGGAAACAATGTTTTCTGCATCAATAATCTTTGTATGATAGAGAGGGAGTGAATAAAGATGACTTAGGGTTGGATTATCTCGCCACATACTCATCAATTCCTATTGTTTTATTTTCCTCTCTTTTACTTATTTTCCAGATTAAAATCAGTATGGATAAAGAAAATATGGATTGTGGAATAAATGCAGAACATTGTAACAATATAGTGGATTCCACAGTAGAAAACATGTATGTAAACAAAGTATGGGTACAATGTGAGAATGAAAATTGTTTGAAATGGAGGTTGTTGTCAAGTGAAGATGCAGCCAAAGTTGATCACAATGAATCATGGTACTGCTTCATGAACACCGATTCAAGATACAATAGATGCTCTATTTCTGAAGAAGACTTTCCAGAAGAATCTCAGCTTCATCAAAATGGATTTAAGATTGTGTATTCACTGCTCCCTCTTGGAAGCCTGGTTTTGGTCAAATTATGCAGTTGGCCAAGGTAAACTTCTAATAATTGTCTTATAGTAAAGTGTTAAGGTATGGCCTTGCTAGGTTTATGAATTTTATTAACTTAAAAAAAATCGCCTTTGGATTTGTTTTCTTTTTTGTTTGTCTGACTTTTTTTTTTCTGATATCATTATTATCCTTTCCCCTACTTCTTTAGATCTAATTAATACTTTTTCTAGTTTGTTTTTTTTTAAACTGGAAGCTTAAGTCACTAAATTGAAGTAATATCCCCATAATAAAGGCCTTGTAAAGCTAAAAATTTATCTCTAAATGCCACATTAGCTACATCGCACAAATTTTTTCTACGTTGTATTTTAATTATTTTTCAGTTTGAAATTCTCATTTCCTTTATGATTTCTTCATTGAAATGGATTATTTATTAGTATGTATTTAAATGACCAAATAATTAGAGATTTTAAAATATTTTATTGTTGTCAAGTTTGGATATAAATCTATTGTAGTTATTTCCACTGAATCGTATTTTATGGTACAGCATGTTTTCTCATGTCATTGTTTCATGTGTATTTGAAAAGAATATATATTTTGCGATGATTGCCTATACTCCTAAAATGCTTTTTTCTTTTTCTTACATTTCTATGATTTTACTAGAATATCCCTAGAGCTTTCCTTTCTGGATTGGTTTCCCCAAATATGCAATATATACTTTAATAGTTTTAAGTCTTTTTCAAAAATTTTAATTTCAGGACTCCTGCTGAAAGTGTTGTTGTTGTTGTTGTCAGGTGCTATTGAGTCGGAACCGACTCATAGCGACCCCATGCACAGCAGAACGAAACAATGTCCGATCCTGGGCCAACCTCACTACTGCTGCCACATTTGACGCCATCAATGATGCCACCTGGCTGATCCATCTCGTTGGGGGTCTTCCTCTTTTTCTCTGACCCTCCACCTTACCCAGCATGATATCCTTCTCCAGCGACTGTTCTCTCTGGACAATGTGTCCAAAGTAGGAGAGACGAAGCTTAGCCATCTTGGCCTCCAAGGAGCACTCTGGTTGTACTTCTTCCAAAACAGATCTTTTGGTTCTTTTGGCAGTCCACGGCACTTTCAGTATTTTCCTCCAACACCACAACTCAAAGGCATCAATTCTTCTACAATCTTCCTTATTCACTGTCCTGTTTTCGCATCCATATGAGGTTATTGAAAATACCATGGCTTGGGTCAGGTGCACCTTAGTCCTCAAGCTGACATCTCTGCTCTTCAGTACTTTAAAAAGTTCCTGTGCAGCAGATTTGCCCAATGCAATACGTCGTCTGAAAGTGTAGAGGACTTAAAATACTTACTGATGATGGGTTGCACCTCAGTGTAAAGAAAATAAAAATCCTCACCACTGGACCAATAAATAACATCATGATAAATGGAGAAAAGATTGAAGTTTTCAAAGACTTCATTTTGCTCAGGTCAACCATCTACATTCATGGAAGCAGTAGTAAGAAATTGAATGATGTATTATTGTGTTAGGCAAATCTGTTGCACAAGATCTCTTTAAAGTGTTGAGAAGTAAAGATATCATTTTGAGGACTAAGGTGCACCTAATCCAAACCATGGTATTTTTAAAAACCTCACATGCATGCAAAATTTGGACAGTGAATAAGAAAGACCATAGAGTAATTGATGCATTTGAGTTATAATGTTGAAGGAGAATATTAAAAAGTATCATGGATTGCCAAAAGAACAGATCTTTGCTGGAAGAGGTACAGCCAGAGTGTTCTTGGAAGCCAGGATGGCCAAACTCTGTCTCTCATACTTCGGACATATTATCAGGAGGGACCAGTCACTGGAGAAGAATATCATGTTTTGTAAAGTGGAGGATCAGAGAAAAGGAGGAAGACCCCCCCCAGCGAGATGGATTGGCATAGTGGCGGTGGCAGTGGTTTTTGGCGTAGAAATGATTGTGAGGTTGACCCAGGGCCAGGCAGTATTTTGTTTTGTTGTGCATAGGGTCACTGTGAGTCGTTAACCAATTCAAGGGCACCTAACAACAACAACAGTGAGTCAGAAATGACTCCACAGCACTTAACAACAATAGGGAGGAAGGATTTCTGGTGTGGCACTGTAGGATCAGCACTGAACTGTGAACCACAAGGTCCATGATTCAAACTACTCCTCAGAAACCCTGTACAGGGTTGCTATGATTTGGAATTGACTCAATGAGTTGGGCTGCTAACTGCAAGGTCAAAAGTTCAAATCTACCAGCTGCTCCAGGGAAATGATGAAGTATCCTGTTCTTGCAAAGATCTGAAATACTATAGCCTTGGAAATCCTGTACAGGGCTGCTATGAGTCAGAACTGACTCAAAATTACACAACTAACTAACCATAGTGAGGAATAGAAAAAGTGAGTCTACTTCATCTTTCCTGGAACCAGAAGTTTCAGAACAGATTAAAAAAAATTTTTTTTAACTTTTCTAATTCACACTCCAAGATCCCATCTTTTATTTCCTCAAAGTATCAAAAATATAGACTAGACTTTTCTCGGGTTTTCTACTTGTTTTTCTCCCCTGCCTTTATTTGTACCCTTTCTTTGTTCTTATTTATCTGTACTCCTCAATTTGGTTTGTACTACCAGCAGTTTCTCATCAGTGTAGGTTTTTTCCTGTAAAGGAACATTATTGGTTATTTTTAAGTGTTCATAGGGCTCTGATTGTTCCCACACTTTCAGATTTTATTGCAACTTCCCTGCTCCAAATTTTGGTTGCTTTTATTAGTTGTGCCTGTTGCACTTTCAAGCGAGTAGCTGTTGGCAATTTGGAGTTTCTGGTTTCTCAAAGTCATCAGGTTTCTGGTTGTCTTTTCCTTCTCATCCTGTTTTCTCTCACATAGATGCTAATAATTCATAGGTCTTGTAACTGTCAGTAGTTTGTACCCACCTGCTTCTGTTCTTTGCATGATTGTTACTTTTGTTCCGAATGTTGTATGCCACGTTTAGGATTTGCTACTCTAGTTCTTCTATCTGTATGTATGGAGTCTTGTTGTGACACTTTAGGGTAAGCTCTGGACTTCTAACTGCAAGGTCAGCTGTTCAAACCCACCAGCTGTTCCTTGGAAACCCTATACAAAGTCATTGAGTTGCAACTGATATTCCTCATCACTTAACAATAACAAAAACCGCATATATGGGATAATTCCAGGAGATTGTTAACTATACACCTTTCTTTTTGTCTTCCCAGAATTTCTTCCCATTTTATATTACATTCTCCTACACAGCATTATCAAAGTTGAAATCCCCTGACTCATATTGCTTTGTTTTCATTCATGTTCAGCTGGTCTCCATGAAGAAAATAAGACATGTGCTTTCAAAGAGACTGATAGGATTTTTCTCAAATACTCAGACACACACTACAGGCTTTCAGGTCAAAATCTAGATTTATGTTCTTGTTCTGTCACTAATTATGTTTCCCATTGTGGGCAATTTCTCCAAAAACATTTTTCCTTTACTACTAAGGGCTCAAAAAAATCCAATATAATCATGCTGCAAACAAATTAGTAATTGACTTCCACGTAATAGTTAGGATGAGCATCAAAATAACTGTTATGTGCCATCGAGTCAGCGACATTATGCACAACAGAAGAAAATGCTACCAAGTCCAGGGCCAACCTTACAATTGTTGCTATATTTGAGCCCATTGCTAGCAAGTAGCAAATATTATAAAGATATGGATATAAGTACTGATTTTATGGGGCTATTTATGAAGCATTTTTAAGGCTATTCATGAATAAATGAATTTGTCGTTTCATGTTATTTTTTTCTATCTGAAATTAGCATGTTGGAATCAGATTCTTGGTATTTTATAGGAGGTAGATGTATATGTTATAATTTGATTTTCCATGTAGCTTGCTCATAGCCAAAAAAGGTGCTATTGCTGTGGTGCTTTAGGATCAGCAGTTCTGACCCACCAGTGCTCCTTGGAAACCCTACAAAGGGTTGAAACCTACTCGAGGGTAGTTGAGTTGAGTTGGAACCTACTCAAAGGTACTTAGCAACAACATTCTTGAAAATAATTTGTTTTTATTGTATAAAATCTAAGTAGGCATGTCTAGATTTAATATCAGTTTTGTTTAGCTTTTTAGCTTTAGTAGAGAGGGTCAGGTCTTCTGAGAATGAATGAAATATTGACAAGATTGAATACTTAAAAGCTGAGCGTAAGGCCAAGGGCTAAAGAGAATTGACCAAATGATGTTATACTGTTAAATATCTCTGTAGTTGACTAGCTTGTCTTTCCATTTAAACTTTAGCATCTATGAAATGGTTTATTTAAAAACTAATGTCTTATTGTTTCTAGAATGTTAATTGTGTATTTATCTCATACTATTATAAATTCCTGTTATCTTTGTATGTACTTGTGCTATTGAGTAAGTGATCGAGTATTACTAGATTTGAATTTGTTACTCTATATGAGTCTGTTTTCATTTGTTCTTTGTTAGTAAGGGAAATATATGTGACTACTGAAGCAAGCTCGCTCTACTGTTTGCAGTAAGCAAGAAGGTAGATATGGCTCTAATTTTTTCCAGGCATGTTAATGGCCTCG